CCAGCCACACTTTTTGAGCGAGTACCAATTTATCGTGCCTTATGTCTTGAGTACGGAAAAATCAAAAAACAAATCCATTATCTAGGTGATACCTTTCCTTTGCTCGTTTGTGAAGGGTTAGTCCCTCCTCCGTAGTTATTATTATCCTAATGTCACTGCCACTTCCGGAAATGGATCTAGAAAAACGTCCGCAATGACGGTCTTCCAAAGAACCGCAAGGTACACTCTAGTTCGCTGCGGACGGTTGGGCGTGTCAGCCAGTATGAGTGTGTCACCCCGTCAAAGCCGTTCTCTGCCTTCTTGTTGAAACGCGCATGCGACAAAAAGTGGTAGAAAACGAGTAATACGAAGGATATGATACAGTATTGTCACTTGCCCGCTTCAACAACTGGTGGAGAACGAGTTTGGCACCAAACGCAGCCGCACTGACACGCCCAACCGTCCGCAGCGAACTACACTGTATAGTCTTCTTCTGCAAGTTTTTCTGCAAGGTATAGTCGAAATCCCTGAGATCGGGTAGGCGTGGCTGCATGCTTCAACTTAACCTGAAGGTGTCTGTGCTTCTGGTGAGATATTTTCATCTTGACACAATTGTTGTCGTGTCTCTGTCCAACACAGAACAAGATGACAGTTGTCCCAGACTGGAATATTCCACGAGTAACCAGTTCCGTGCCATGTTCAAATGCTACGCCTACTCTGGCCAGGGATAAGGAGTATACCTGCAGGGAGCGGAAGAACCGTAGTGCGGTAGCGTCAGGTACGATCTATGTGAAGGGTGCGCGACTAAGATCTAGTGCTAAGGGTGGAAAAAACTGAATATAGTCCTGCGTCAATCTGATCGAAGTGCAACAGCCTCATTCCGCTCCAATCTGTTCTATTGCATCCTTCAGATTGTCCTGTTGAGAACGCTGCTTTTCAAAACTTAAAATTCGCTTATTGTTGAAAATTTGTTGTCTGCTGAAAAAAATTTTTTATATGCCGAGTTTGAGAATCTTAAGGAAATGGTCCGCTGGACTGTGCCTACCCTACGTGAAAGCAATGCCACTCAATTATGTCTTCACAAACCTTGAGAAGCGTTCGTTCTCATTGACTACAGGTCAAGCTTTAAAACGTCCATGCAAATGTGATCCAACTAGCTGATCCAGCCTAGTTTGTGGGTGGCCAAACATCAAAGTGTCATATTAACGGCCGGCCACATTCGGTTGATCACTATATCTCTTAATTCAACAATTCTGATATCTGCATCCTTCTCTCATCTAGTCCTAAGGGTTGGAAATGAATTGTGGTTGTGATGATAAGAACCTTTCGATGTAGTTACGGAGCCCGTTTCAAAGTATTCTCAGAATCAGGGTAATTTAGCAATGTCGACGGAATTGCATTTCAATAGGTAACGACACTCCCTGGGGGTATAAATACAAAACTTCATTTAGTTATCATCAATGCTATTCTAGTTAGCCTTGGTGAAAGAACTTATCTCTATCACTCTCCCCCCTTACAGATATGACGGACAATGTTGAAAATGATTGTGAATAGAAAAATTGAAAAGAAGAAAAAAAAATTCAAACAAAAGTTGATCAGTGACTTCTTGTTCCCAAACCTAAAAAAAGACCTTTGTGGAAAGCGTTTTTCGCAATTAACGCACATTTAGGTAAAAAGCAGGTAAAATATTTTCAAATAGTGTTAAAAAGTTAGTTTTCCGAGCAAAAGGTTGTGAGGTTATGGCAGAACGTATATGAAAATGAATTTCATTCAGAATTTTCGCCTTTCCCTTCATACTTATGCCGAGAATCTATCAGGCACCCCTTGAAACACCGGCCATGATAGGGCAACTCCAGCGCGGTAGCTGAGTTTAAAAAATTTCTGAATCTTTCAACAATTTGTAGCAACAACTCATGCAAAAAATCGTACTGCTCGTTCGTCTAGTAGATTGCCCTACTTGAACCGCAATACTTTTTTTTTAGAATTGAGGGGTATTTTTGTCTTCCACTCAGCAGGAGAAACTTTAGTGCGGTTAACTCCTTCCCTGCACCAGTCCTAAACGAACAGAATTCAGTATATCCCAACAGGAAACAAATATAAATTTGCCGGAATCCGTGAACTTCAATCGGAATAGTGGTCTGCCAGTTGGCACTGCTTCGGCCGATAATAGATCAAATCAAATCAACTTGAAGAGGTTTATTTATATAGTACTTGTTCTTAGAATCAAAGCACTTGAAATTGGCAATGAATTTGCGGACAACTCAATACTTAAAGGCACATGGCACGATAATTTTGTGCCTGGTCTAAAATGCTATCAGCGCCATATAGCCGTAAAATGGCGAAAAAAAAACGAAGTGAAACGGTCAAGAATTTGCTAAATAAAGCTATCTTGCTTAAGGACTCAAAAAGCAATTTTAGACGACTTTCCCATGGGCATCTTGCCATTAACCGCTACCACTCATTTATCCATGCAGCACCGCAGCCTTCATATCAATCCCTTCGCTTCATATTTTACTTAGCAAATGAAGCAATACGAGCATCAGGTACGGTCGTCCATTTGTGGGCGGGCGGGCGCGGTGGGCGTTGGTCGGTATGTTGCAGCTTGATAAAGCCTTATAAGGGTACCTTTCTGAAAAAAATGTGCTCCAGCGCCTGCTCAGGGGCGCGGACTTCCGTCCTGCAAGGCGTATTAATCCTACTCATCTGAAGGATTCGCACCAACTGCCTTTGAATTCTACCTTCCAACTCCTCTAATCTCAAAAGCCCGGGGTTTTTCGACAGCGGTTTTGTTTTTTCTGCTTGTGCCCCTGACGTTAAGGGGTGAGGAACAATGTTTCGACCCGTTCTTCGTTTTCAGTGGCCTATACTGTGGTTTTACACAATTTTTTTCGCCCGTGGTGATTTATTAAGATTGGTCACAACGAATGCTTCCAACCTCATTGGGTAAATGTGTGATCGTCCCCTTTGTTCGGCGGACATTTACACTATGAAAAAAGTGCTGATTCGCTGTTCAATTCAATAGAAGGATGCGCCTCTGCGTTGTTCGTGAAGAGTAAAATTACGCACTTTGAACACCTGCGTGAACCCTGTTTCTACTGGGTTTGTATGCTTTTTTCTTAGTGACTTGGTTCAAGAACCGCGGGTAATTCCGCACTACCCAATACTAACTACAAGCTAAAAATAGCTCCGGATTCTCGTTCCTGCGAGGGCATGGAACAGGTCGAGCAGCCCTCAGTGATCAAACGCCCAGGATGATTAATCTCCAGGATGATTGATCTCAGCAAACATAACCATACCAGTCGTAAACCAGGAATGTACATCAATCACTGATGAGCACTAAAGTTGAAAAAAAAATGAAGTGATATAATGTTTCATGTGTTCGCTGGCTGCATTCATGGGGCAGATGGTTTTTGCTCTGGTAGTTACGAGCGTAATTTGTTTGCTAGAAAGGAAAAGAGGGATGGAAGTAATAAAGGAAGGGACATAATTTCAAGGGCAGACTTCGCGATGAAGTCAGCGGAAAGTTCGTCAGTAGCGTGGTTTAGAAACAGACTCGTGCTCGTGCGAAAAAAGGAGAGAAAACAGTCGAGCAGGCTTCAAATAAGGCCCTGCGTGCCACGCGAAAGACAAACATCTATGTGAATATCGAGAGAGAGGTCGGAGAAAACAACGAGAAAGCATGCAAACGGATGAGCGTAGAGCAGACATTTATAAACTTGGGCGGAGTCACTTGAGCAATCTTGTGGCTTTATCGCTGCTGCCTTGCCCTTTTTCTGGCGTGAGAATTATACAGGGTTGTTCGTTGCAGTTCACACTACAGAGTTCAGCCAACCATAAGTGGGCTCTGCCTTTAAGGAGGCTGAGATGTGAGTCCATCACTTTATAACCCATTTTCACCGGTAGGAACTGTAATCCGAGTGATGGAAAATGAGCCATAAGTCTGACTGTTCCCCGAGGCAGCGTCCAGACTTCACTGGCGCGCGACAACGCGCTGCACTTGCGATAGCGCTCCAGTGCAATAGACACGAGTGCAGCTGCAATCGATCAGCGTTGGTCGCTCGTGCACTGAGGGTGTACTTGAGTTTAGAAGGGTATGCGTTGCTTAATCACGCGGTCCGGTATACAGTCCTCTTCATTGCAGACCGGTGGGGCGGGTGAGCCGCGCTGCGCGTGACGCGGCTGTGACGCGACTGTCATGACAGTGAATGAAGAGGACGGCACTGGCTGCTGCGGCTCTGGAAGAATATAAAAGTATGGGAAAGTAGTCGGTTGTGTGAGGGCAGAGCTTGCCTTCTTGTTATCCTGTGCCCTCTAAAAACCGAAGAGGCCGGCGCCGATCGAATCCGGCTGAGTTCGCGTTTTTAAGATTGGACCGCTGTTACTTTTAGCACGTGGTGCGCATTACAGCGCGTCATCCCAGTATGAGCGACTACGGGACTGTACGAAGAATAAGGGGCGAGTACTACGATAGCGAGCGAATGAGACGGGAGGCGAGTGTAATGACAGCCGTACAGATAAGTGAACGATTAAGTGGTTTCATATAGCCAGATGGACTTCACATGGATGAGATGATAGCAGTCCAGTTAAGGGCAGACTGAAAGGTATGTAGGGAGGAAAGAAAAAATCTGGAGAGACACGTAAACGTGGGTAGAAAACAAGAAGACAGAGAGGGATGGAAATATGAAGGCACCCTGATATTCTTTGGCCCAGTCAACGAGAAATGATAAAAGTAAAGTTTAATTTTGCTCTCAGACCTATACCTTTTCCAGAAATACTGCTCTGAACCCTTCCTGGGTTCGAACTAAATCCATGGAATATGGTGCTGGCAGTGTATAGTTTTCCTATGGTTTCATAGTTTTCCAAACGGTTCCTAAACCAAGAGAGGGAAAAAGGTTGAAATTAGAGGAGGGCTCAAAAGTACTGCATCCAAAGCATAGTCCAGTGACTTTGATCGACTTGACGGCTGAAAGGTGATTGCGTCTGGAAGAGACGTATCTGCACCTGATGGGGAACAGGTGTAGATGGCAAACGAAATAATTGACATGAAAGAAACGGTGAGACAAAGAGGCAGAAAAACCAGCATCTATTTCACTTTTTCACCATTTTTGCCTTTTTGTCGTTTAACAAAGCAAACAGGTATAATGGGAGCCGAACAAGGGTAAATGTGCCTAGTGTGGTCGTTCCTTCGATTACACTAATAAGCAATGTCAAATATATGTTGATACATTCATCTTCACGCGCGTCATCGGTCATGCACGTCGGTACCGGTCTCTGTGAACACTCTCCAATGTTTCTTAGGCGACAAAACTTTTGTCAGCCTTGCAGAATTTATAAGACACATGGCTCTCTGGCAACCCTATTTTTAACTAACCTGAAATCAATCGGCACAATAATTTGGTTTCCGCAAGGTAGCGAAGCCAAAGAGAGGAAAGTGAAGCAAAAAACGGGACCAAACGGCGAAACAATTGCGGAATAGGGATACCGTTAGCAGCTTCATTTCAAAAGTGGACGAGCAGACGCTCCAGGAGAGATATGATGGACTATCAGCGCCGAAAACTAAAAGAAGTGACCGTGACTTGACCTCGAAAACGAGACAACTGCAAGGGGAGGCAAACCTGAGGGTGATATAAAAAATGTCTTCAAGAGAAATAAGGGCGTGATACAGAGTAACATTGTCTCGAAACACGCGAGAGATTTATTGGAAAACCACGAGAAATAAATCACAGGAGATCTGAAGCCCCAAAAAACGGCAGGAAATCCCACACTATGTCCAGCAAATATCCTTTCGTATTTATATTCATCTTCATTGATAACATATTCCTGCTCTCAACAGAAAGCCCACAGTTTGCGGGCACGGCTTGCAAGCACTGGGGTGAATATCCTTATTAAAAAGCGGTTGACACGATAAATCCCCAAGACGAGTAGGATCAATACGCCTGGCAGGACGGAATTCCGCGACCCTGAGCAGGCGCTGCATAGCGCCTTTTTCAAGGAAAATACCCTTATAAGGCCCTATCAAGCTACAACATACCGACCCGAACGCCCACCGCGCCCGCCCGCCCACAAATGGACGACCGTACCTGATGCTCGTATTGCTTCATTTGCGAAGTAAAATATGAAGCGAAGGCCGTGGTTCTCCATGGATATATGAGAACATACGTTCAGCCGTGTCTACTGTAGCGGTTATTGGCAAGATGCCTATGGGAAACTCGTCCGAAATAGTTCTTTGTTTAAGAACGAAGGCTTCTCTTCGCAGGTTCTCGCCCGTTTCACTTCGTTTTTTTCACCATTTTCCCCCCACTGTATGGGGTCCTGTTAGCGATTTACGCGAAATACCAAATTATCGTGTCAACTGTTTCTGAGTAGAGTCATGAAAAGTGTCTGTAAGTGTTGTTGTTGTTGGTATGGTGAGCAGCACCAGTTTGCGCATCATCGAGTATGCACGCGAGCGAAATTGTAAGGACCTTATGACGTGCCCTAAAAATTCGCGGGCATGTGTCAAACCCCTCGAGAAACGAATGAAAATAATAAAATCAACTGTAATTCCTGTAAGGTTTCGTCTGTAACTTTTTCTTTATTCAGGTCGAGAAACATACGGACGTTTACGCCTTTGGCGTGACCATGTGGGAAGTGTTTCAGACTCCGTATCACATACCGTACCATGAATGGAATGCAGATGAGGTGAAATTGAGATGGATGTCGTGGAATTATTGCCACAATCACTTCCTTCTAAAGTGCACTTTATTACGATAAACTTAGGTCTACAACAATGTGGTTGAAGGCACTTATCGCCTGTCTCCTCAAGAAAATATGCCACCAGAACTGGGAGGTTTGATGAAAGAATGCTTGGGTGAGGGTACCTATTTGGTCATCTCATTCGAGAATGCTTAAGTTTCATTCCAATGAAATCGCAAAGCACGTAGAAAGCAATAATTCAGTCTGAAGTTAGCTATTAGGTTGTCCGGAAAGGAATGCGCGTTGAATTTTTTGAACTTGTCCATTTTTTCTCTCCTACTATAGAAGATTTTTGGAGACAGTTTTGTCTATTAGAAAGAGATTTTTATTGTGCTTCTTTTGATATATTTTTGTCCATGTCTACTTTGCTTTTTTTGGGGAAAAAAAGTTGGGAAGAGCGGGTGCCGCACCAGCTGAGCGACGCAAACAAGGCAACACGAGTGGCAATGGCCGGAATTCTTCTTCGTCGCTCCAAGAACAGCGGTTTTTTCGACTCTATTATTACATCAAATGAGAAAAGGGTCTGCTTCGATAACGCAACGAGAAAAGGACAGTGGTTAGACTCCAGTGACCCTCCAAAACGGACTCCGAAACCTGATATACGCGGCAAAAAGGTGATGCTCCGTGTTTGGTGGAATAGCAAAGGTTTGATGTACTTTGAAGTTCCGGAATCGGGTCAGACGGTTACGGCGGACATCTGCAAACACCAATTGAACCGCATGGATCCAGCACTGCGTCTTCAAAGTGTCGAAACGACGTCGACAAAATTTATCCACGACAACGCTCATCCACATGTGGCGAAAATCACTCTAGAAAAAAATTGAGGAATTGGGCTGGAAAGTCCTGCCTCATCCGCCACACAGATCAGACCTGGCACCATCGATTACCATCTGTTCCGGTCGATGCAGAACTCCCTGGCCGAGAGAAAATTCACAAACCGCGAAAAAGGTCCAACTCTGGGTGTCCAACTTCTTTGAGTCGCAGCCGGTCGAGTTCTTCAGAAGAGGAATCCATTTTTTGCATAAATGTTGACAACAAGTCATTGATACTAATGGAGATTGTCTTTTGAATTTATCTTGTTTAATTTCGTTTTTATAATAAAAAATTTTTTAAGCTCGAACGCGCATTCCTTTCAGCCTAATATTTTCCATCGTTATCTACGAGTTGTCTACGAGCACCCCAGCTTCGAGGGCGCGTCCTGGACATCTAGCAATTTTGTTTGCTAGCAGTACGATTGAGATGCTGCTGAGATCAGTCTCGCGAACGGCACGTTATCCTGACGCTCGCCAATGACCTATGCCTTTGACCGAAACACTTGAAGACAAACTGTACACTCACATCTGTGGATTAGGCTCATCATCTTGTGTGGGAAGAATGGGTTTGCTGCTACAGTATGATGTAATTTTCTCTGTTCAATAGTGCCCGGGACCGGGGCTAGAGAGTAGGAGTACCCAGGGTATCGCTTCTCGCTTCGCGCGCACAGCTAGCCACACTACTAATCTTAGCCAAACGCACTGCTGTCTGCATCCTCTCACTTCTTCTCTAATGCTGGGCGTGTTTTGTGTGCTGCATTTTGGGGATGGTGCAGTGCAGTAAGAACCCTATCTAATTTTGGAGTCCTGTGCCAATGTGGTCAGCTTCAAGCACACGCGGTTGAAGCGCAACCCCAACTTCCAGCCGATACCGTCTCGTTCGCATTGTCAGCGCTCGCGTCTTTGGCTGGTTTTTTGAAATCTGTATCTTCATGAGTCTGATGTATCACCGCTATAACAGTGCAGTCGCAAATTAGAAATAGGTAGCAGAAACATCATCATTTCTGTTTAGTACTTCATTTCACCATTTCCTATATTTCTAGGTCCTCCCTTCCATTTTTGACACGAACAGCATTCGCGTTTACAATAACAATTTGTCACTCCACTTTTGCATACAACTCAGCATTTTTGTGACAACTTTCGAAGCATCAATTGCGGTGCTTAACAGAAGATATCAC